GATAGTGATACTCTCCTGGGTTCCCATCTGCCTCTACGGAGGCTCTGCTTCAGGCTGGCGGTTGGGTACAGTTACCAACTGGCTAAAGCAAAAATGGGCAGGCGATTTGGAGGAGCCTTATAGCTTATTGGCTTGGAGCCCAGAATAACTGACTTAATCTCTCTGAAACTCTGTTTTCCTATCTGTAAAGTGGGACATAACTAGTCCCTTGTTGTGTTAAATAGAAAAAGGATGTGGAAGGTTTGGCTCCTGAGTATTCTGGGCCATACCTCACGCCTCAATATATGTTTGTGAAGTGAATGAACCCTAGATGGGTGTACCCCAGGGACTGCTCTTTTAGGAGACGTGAAAGGTCTGTGGGCATGAATTGTGGTCCTGAATAACACCTTGACCCCCACCTTCCCTTCACGAGCATGACAGGCTCAGAGCTGTCCCCAAGATTTCCTTCCAAGCTCTGTGAGGGTGTGTGAAGCTGAGATAAATGAGGGGGCTTTGAAGCCAGATGGCATGGGGCTGCCTTCCTCTTACCTCAGTCCTTAAGTTCATACAGGGCACCCCAGAGGTGGTGGGTAGGTATTGGAGGAGGGAGTCAAGAAGCCTGGACTCCAGGCTTAACTCTGCCACCGTGCAACTCTCGTGAGTTTATTCAGTATGTATTTAATGTCTGCCGTGTGCTAGGCTCTGCCACTGGGGACACGAGCAGTGGTAGCAGTAAGAAGTGGCTGGCGGGAGGTTTTAGCCCTCTCAGAATGGCCATCAGCACCCCATCTCCAAGCCACTTCAGGCTGATGGTGTGACAGCTTAATTTGTGGAAGGAAAAAACTAAGTAAAGGCTATAATTTACAGTCGGGATAATAGGCCAACCGTTAGGAAATCTATGTAAAAATAGTGTGGTTGTTATGCAAACTCAGCTTCAAGACGCAGTCTCAGCTGCCATGCATCCACTGCTGCTCGATCCTTTCGAAATAGTCAGCTGACCCCAAACTTCTTCCAAATAGGAATTCTGGAGCTGCCCCAGGATGGAGGGGGTGAGCAAAACAGACTTGGTGGCCTCAGTCTTGCTCCTGGAGCGGAGCATCAAGCAATCAGGTGCTCAGGACCCAACACAATGAGTACCTTCATGGGGGAAGCCAGGGGATGGTGGGAGCACAGGAGTCCCCTGACCCAACAGGAGGTCAGGTGAGGCTTCCTTTGAAAACCATATCATAGATGATTCATATGTGCTAAGGAATTACATGAAGTGCCTACCAAGCCAAGACCTGAAGTATGAAGTGGAGTGAGGCAGGTTGGCCCAGGGGGAGAAAAGAATTTCAGGCAGAAGGAATGGCAAGAACCCAGGGCTGTTGAGAACATGGCTAGTCTGGGGAACTGATTGGTCTGGCTGGGTGAGTCGGCTTCCTGCTTGAATTAGTCTGGAAGAGGCCTTGAAGACCTCCTAGTGTCTGCTGTCCACCTCCCAGCTAATGACCAGGCCGGGCAGCATTTCTTTCTGCCTTTCCCCCAGCTTCTTACATACAAATCCTGGCTCTTCCTCCCTGAGAGGAAGCTGGGGACCCAGGAATCTGCATGACTTGACAGCCCGTGGAGGCCCTGGTGTGATCCCAGACTTGGCAACCACCAGAGTGGTGCAACCTTACCCTGGATGTTGCAGAAAGTAGAGACCCACAGCCCAGCTAGCATGGCTCAATTGGTTGAGCGTCAACCTATGAACCAGGAGGTCAAGGTTTGATTCCTGGTCAGGGCATATGCCCAGGTTGCAGGCTCGATCCCCAGTGTGGGGAGTGCAGGAGGCAGCCGATCTGTGATTCTCTCTCATCATTGATGTTTCTATCTCTCTCCCTTTCTTTTCCTCTCTGAAATCAATAAAAATATATTTTAAAAAGAAAAGAAAGTAGAGATACGGAGAGGACCCTGAAATCAATAAAAATATATTTAAAAAAAAAGAAAGTAGAGATACGGAGAGGACTGAAGGATGCCTGAGGCCACACAGAGAGCTTGGGCTCCTAACCCTCTGGGCGGAGAGTCCCTTCACTAAAGTAACCTCTACCTATAGGCTCTTTCCCACACTCTCTTGTTTGCTGGGTGGGGTGCCTTGCTCTGATAGTTCTGCCCAGGTGGGGGCGCAGCATCCTTGAGCTGAGCTCAGCCTGGCAACTGGGCCTGAAAGGGCTTGGAGAGTTGGGGACAAGGAGGGTGGGAGGAGACTGGAGGGATTGGGCACCTAGGGCAGGGTGGAAGGAGGGGCTAAGGAAACAGGCTTTCTGATATGCCCTCCACCATTCAGGCAGCCATGGTGGGAGGGGTAGAGAAGCTCTAATTAAGCCCAGTTTCTAATTAAGCCCAGCCCCTGTGTCTCCTCGATCCCCATTAGCTCCCCATGGTGTCCCCAAGGCATTTTAAGCTGCCACCCTGCTGAGGACGCTGGGACTGCTGCCAGAGCTTGCCAAGCCTGAAGAGCTTAGGCCCGTGAGGGGCAAAAAAATCAACCCATAATTCCCCTCCGTCCGTGGCAGTTTCTAGGTCCTCCAGTCTCCTCAGAAGCACAGGGGAGCCTCCTGCCCACCATGTCAACCTCTGGGGCTCTGAGTGGAAACTAGATTGGCTCCCATACAGTCTTGTCCCCAGCACCCACTTTTTGCCTCCAAAATGCCAGGCTGGGGGACTGGGAGCAGGGCTGGTATTGGCTTTGGCTGCAGCCCCTAGACTCAGGAATGTTCTTTCAGAATCCTGAGCCCAGCACAGAGTCTGCAGGAAGCAGCAATTACGATTTTAGGTTAAGACAGCCCTGGTTTGTTAACCCTTGTGGTGCTGGATGCCAAACCCTCTTCCTCCTCCTCTCTTTCCCCCTCCATACACCATGCTCCAAGTTCTCAGCAGAGTGAGCAACCCCTACTTGTCATCTCCTCCCTCCCTCTTTCCATCAGGCACCCGGAGTTCAGAGAGGTGGAGCATCCCTTTTAAGGTCACACAGCCACGGAGGCAGCCTCTGCCCCCTGGAGACTCAACTACAGCCCTTTCTCTGCCACTACCACCTTGGTAATCTCCCCAGGCTACATTCACACATGCAGAGTTTAATTAACTTTATTGATATTCAAAAATTAGGAGAATGACTAAAGGTAATTACTCATTAAAAATCATGAAACTGACACAGCAGGCCCTGGCACGGTGCTGCCCCTCCTACACCGTTTTCCTCCTACTTGTGGCAGGATCTTCTGGGCACTGCTCACAGGTTGAGAGTATGACCAGTGGCCCCCCCCGACACCCCTCCCAGCTGGGAACAATTAGCCCGGCAGCTTTGGGGTGGGGGTGGGGGAAGGTGTGGAATAGGGGACTGAATTTATCAGGTTGAGCCAGGCCCAGAGACATCTTTCCTTGCCCCATCCACCTCCTGATTCTGGGCTGTTCCTGGCCATATCCCAGGGTCTGCAGACCTTGGCCTCTGTGTGAGCAAAGCTCTAAGGGCCCTTCTTGAGGCCACGAGGCTGCGGATGCACCGCCTGGGCCGCAAAGGCTCACAGCCCCTTCAGCCTTCTCTTGACAGCCGCCGCCAGGAGCCCAGAGATGGCCCAATACACTGCCTCCCGATGAGACGACTTAGTAGCCCTCCACCTGGGACCCCACACCTGCTGGGAGCGAAGAGGGTGCCAGGGCAAGCCCAGGTGCAAGCCCTCTCGCCTCAGGCCGGGCACTGCAGGGCTGCCTCCTCTTCTCCCTTAAAGAGGGAAAATAAAGATCTTCCCCTACTCCACATATCCCTTGGGCGGGTGGCCCCATGGGTGTTAGGAAGGTCGGGATGGGTCAGGGAGGGACACTGGCCGGCGATACACAGACCCTCAGCCACAGAGTGGACACTCACCCCTCACCCCCAGGAGGGCTCCCTGGACTCCTGGCCACACCAGCCATCCTCCCGGAGACCCGCAGGCAATCTCACCCCAGCCCTGCAGAGAGCTCCCTGGCAGAGGGAGCTAGCACACTAGCTCTGCACTGCACACTAGCATTCTTACACACTCCTCACACCTGCTCACAGCTGAGCTCTCACCCAACATCCAGACCTCCTGAAGCACAGACGCCCTTGGACCCTCTACTCCAGACACGCTGGGCCTCGATTACATTCACACTCAAACCGACACACCCACACACCAGGCTCCAGACTACACGCAGGGGAGGGGGCACACGCCGGCCCTGTACCCCAGGAGAGCTGTCCAACGGAAGTCCGGCTGGACCCCAAGACAGGTCTTAGCTCCTGGGATAGCTGGGCTAGGATGCTGGCTTCCCCTCCCTGCCTGCCCCAGATGGGGTGGGGTTTAAGGGGCTACAACCCCATTAATATGAACACACACGTTCTGAATTCTGGGCACCAAGTATGAATCCTGCGAGGTCAGCTAGGGGGTGGGGTGAGGACATCGGCCCAATGCGACGGCTGAATGCAGCTGGAGCCAGAGGCTCAGAGAAGGGCTTCTGTGCCCTGGGGCCGCAGAGTGAAGAGAACTGCCATCCCGGGGCCCACTCTGACCCCGGCCTTGCTGCCCTGCCCTCCAAAGCGGCTTGGAAAGATTGAGCATGGAGGTTTAGAAGCGTCTACATTCTCCTTCGTCCGCACTGGGTTCTACAAACCACACTGCGAAAGGCAGCAGGTCCCAACTTCAAGCAAGGTCCCAGCCCACCCAGACGCAGTGCAAGAAAGACCTGGGCGGCGGTAGCTTTGGTGAGTGCCTGTTTAAGCCCAGGCGGCAGGTCCCCTGTAGACTCGGAAACCTTTCCTCCCAAAGGCACAGAACCCCCAACCTCTCCCCAACACCCCCTTACCGCCCACTCCAAGGCCAAGCTTCCCTCAACCTCGGACAGATGAAGTTGGAGATCGGACTGCACTGCTAGCGGGGGGCCTGGGGCGGTAGGGTGGGTGGCAGCTCTTCTCCGACGAGTCTCCCCACATAGGGTGGGAGGGAGCTGAGCAGGAGGGCTGGCCTGGAAGGAGGAAGAGCTCTGGACGTGTGTGTGTGTGTGTGTGTGTGTGTGTGTGTGTGTGTGTGTGTGTGTTTTCACCAGCGCGCGCGCGGAAAGGACCTGGGGAGGACAAAGTATCTATCCCAGGACCTCAGCCGCTGCAGCCTAGGGCCGAGCGCGGAACCGGTTGCGGGGCCCGGAGCCGCCGACTTTCCCTGGAATCGTACACGAGGTTCCGACTCCGGCGTGGCAGCGGCAAGACCGAGGGAAGTGAGCGACGTCCCAACTCCGGGTCCGGCCGCCATCCCGCCGCGTCCCTCCGCCACGGGGGCGCGAGGGCCTCTGGAACCGGCGGCAAAGTCGAGCGAAGTTTGGAGGGCGGCAGGAAAGGCGGGACCGCGGCCGCCAGCAGGACCGTCCAGCCTCGCCGCCCTGTGGCCTCCCTCCCTGGAGTGTGGCGAGGTAGCGCGCGGGTGAGCGCGAGAGTGTGTGCGGGGTGGGGGTGGCGTGATGAATTGCAGCAGAGAAATCCCATTAGATCCGGGAAGATGATTAAAGGCGAGGTCT